GCTCACCAGCCGTGAGCCTGGCTTCTGGTTGAGCAGCACTCCCGCTCCCGCTGTGGGAGCGCACTGACTACCAGGGGGCAGCTCCTGCATTGAGTGTCTTCCCCCTGGTGGTCAGTGAGCATCATAGCAACCGCTCATTCTGCAGTTCGGTTGATTTCCATATTAGCTTTTTATTACATAGGATTATTCCCAAAGTCTCAGTCAGTTATAAAATCTTAGAAATTATTTAGTTATAAGTGAGAACCTAATCTAAGTGGCCCTTTAAAAATAATAATTTTTTTAAGTTATAATTTGCACACAATAAAACTTTTCAGTATTTGAGAAATCTATACACCGGAGTAACCATCACCACAATCAAGACATAGACCACTTCAATTACCACCCCTCAAAGTTTTCTAGTACTCCTTTTAATAAACCCCACCACATTCAGTCCTAGGTAACCAGAAAGCAGAAAGATATGCTTTCTGTTGCTATATATTAGGTCTGCCTTTTCTAGAAACTATTTATAGGAGGTAAATTTATTGAACATACTATGTGCCAGCCAGTCACTGTGGATCACCTCCCTTTATTCTCAAAATTCTAACAGGAAACGGTTTCAGGGAGGTTTAACATACTCAAAATTGCACAGTGAGTGTATGGCAGAATTAGTCTACTTCTCTCTAAAATCAGTGAATCCTAACTGGTTTATAGAACTGAAATCACAAATATCCTTCCAAATTGAAGAAAATGTTTCTTAAGAACACAATATAGAACTTTAATATTCTATTATGTATAATACAGCTCACTAACAGTTGGATTTGGCTAAATAGTAAGTTCAATTACATATCTAGAAACATAAAGTCATGAGAGTCTGATTTGGACTATTATCTTTCTCAACAATGTCTTCTAAGATTAGAAACAGAATCTATTGGATATAACTGTGTCTTTAGCTATATACTCACTTAATGTCAGTGGTTCTTTCCTTTCAATATGTGTGAAAAATATTTGTATTGTCAACATTTACGAGGGAATCACTCTCCTCTTTTCTGTTTAACGATTTGTATAAGAAAAACGTATTTCAAATAATTTTCTTTCTTTCAACAAAGCTTAACACAGGCAAGAGATTTAACAAAGTCAGTCACCAATGGTTAACGCCAAGTGTCACAAACACAGGTTATTGACAGTTGGTTTTCTATCTATGAAAATCTTAACACCTAATATGAAAAGGAAAAACATATCTAGAACTTAAATAAAAAGACTCTCATTTACCCATAAATAAAAATATGATTTAGCCCCTATGATTAAAATTAAAAATTGACATTGATGGCTTTCTTAAACAGAAAATAGACAAACCTATCAATACAATTTTATGTTTAAAGGCCAAAATAACTGCTGGTTTTCCTACCAATGAATATGTAACAGAATGGAATTGGACTGAAACAGGTATTTTCCCAATTCTGGAGATGACTCAACATGTGGTTTTGGATGTCTACATAATGAAGATATTCAAAAAACCTACACTTCTTAAATAATGCCAAAGGGAAATAATGAATTAGCTTAATTATCCTATCTTTATAAAATAAGGGCCAGAATGTTCTTCAAAATACCTTTTTAAAAATGGAAGTGAATAAGCAAAGAGAAATTAGGCAATCTGCTTAAATTCAACAGGAGACATGGGAGGGAGGAGATAGTGTTTGAATTAGATCCTTCAGAGTGCACAATGTTCTTTTTATCTGACAAAGGGGAGAGTGTCTGGGAGTCTAGTACAGCTTCAACAAAAAGATATAAAGTAACTAATGATGTTGCCGCTTAGGTGGAAAGTGATGGAAAAAAAAGGTTTATGGATGTTAGAATTGCCAATGGATATCAGTGAGGAAAATTTTTTAAAATGCATACCCAATGCATCTCCTAAAGGCTTACCTTTGGCTGTTTTAAATCACTAGCATAACATTCATTACAGAAGACCCACAGTATGTGAAGGTTTGTAGTTCTACTATTCTAAAGCAACCTGTGAGGTCCATAACAAAGTGATCTGTTACTCTGCGGAGGCAGGAATTGAGTCCCAAGTTTGAATCTGGGAGCAAGTCATTTCACCAGTGAGTGAACCTAGCCAACTACTGAGCACTTCGTTATTCTTATTTAATCTTTAGGTAATCCTGTGTGGTATGTGTGTCCTTATTTAATAGACTAGAGGCCCGGTGCACAAAATTTATGCACAGGTAGGGTCCTTAGGCCTGGCTGGCGATCAGGGCTGATCTGCGGGGCAACTGGGGGTCCCCGCTGGCACCCGCCTTGGCTGGCCTGGGGGCAGCTCCCGTGTTGAGCATCTGCCCCCTGGTGGTCAGTGCACATCATAGTAACCAGTCGTTCCGCCGTTCGGTCAATTTTCATATTAGGCTTTTATATATAGGATGTGAGACAGAAATTACTTTCTATGGTGGCAATAATGAAGATGTTAGGATGTATTCTGTAAAGAATGACAAGTCTAGCCCTCGCTGGTTTGGCTCAGTGAATAGAGCATTGGCCTGAGGACTGAAGAGTTCCGGGTTCGATTCCAACCAAGGGCACATGCCTGGGTTGTGGGCTCGATCTCCTGTAGGGGGCATGCAGGAGGCAGTCGATCAATGATTCTCTCTCATCATTGATGTTTCTCTCTCTCTCTCTCTCTGAAATCAATAACAATATATTAAAAAAAAAGATAAGGTTCCAATTTCATTCTTTAAAAAAAAAATGACAAATCTACTACACCATACATTTTTAGCGTAATAAAATACCACTCAAGAGTGAAAATTTAAGATACTTCCAAAATTATCTCAAATTCTCCCTTTTGTGAATGACATTCTGCATTCACATGTAACTACATTCTCCTTTGATAGTAATGTCTCCCCAACTGAGTGATGATTTACCTGTTATATTAAAAAGAGATAAACGTTAACACAAATGCAAATTTTCATCATTAGGCACAAAGTAAGCATTTTCTCAAGTGGCTTTAGATTATTGCAAGCACTATTGCATGTATTACAGTAGCTAGTGACAAATACCATTACTGTTCCTTTACCCAGAGCAAAATAATCAGAATAACAAGCAGCTTGTCTAATGGAAGGCATAGAGAATTGGAAAAGAGGCCACTCAACTTTTGTATGCTTCCACCTCCTGACTAACCAAATATTCTAGTGAATGAGTGGTACAAAGGAACTTGTCAGCACTTTTGTGTGGTCTAATCAGCATAACAGGTGAAACTGTACCTAAAAGTTCAAATTTTAAATAAATGCAAGATACTGTAAATTTAATTGGAAAAACAACAATTCAGTACTTATTTTAAGTAATGAAACACAGCTTTAATGGCTGTTCAAAAGAAGCATTAGGGAGCAAATGAAAATAAAAGTGAATAGGTATAGAGTTTGGGGAGGCACAGGGAAAAGAGCAGCTTGGAGAAGACACAATCAGATTTTGAGAGATGGACAGACAAGCCAACCTTATTAGAATACCTTATTTAACTTGCCCCTCCCCTACCAGCAGCAACCTCATCTTGACTTGCTTCTTCTAAATTATACATGCAATTTGGGAGAAGAAAAAAATTGGGAAACTGCAAATACCAGTTGAGACATATAAAAGGTACCTCTCCACTTTGAATAGTTACAAACACTTAGACACATGGTGTCTGGAGGCAGAGATGCCACTGGCTCTGGAAATGACAGTTTTCCACAGCCCAATCACACTTAAGCTCACTTTTTATATTTAAAGTTAAGGTGATTTTTTTGGTTCTCTATTTGGTACTTGTCATTTTGCCGAATAATGCAGTTTCCATATGTTACCCTCTCCTAAATCACTTCATCTTGGTGAAACAGAAAAAGTGGGATGGGCATTTAGAAGAGCGTGCTCAGATCACATGGTCCTGTGTTCCCATCATGGCTAAGCGCTCTCAGTAGCCACCTCCCTCATTCAGCAAAGTATCTGAGCCCTTACTTTATGCCAGGAACAAGGGTAACCATGTACACAGGGCCCACACTATACCCGTCTCTGTCCTCAAGAGGGAGACCGACAAAACAAGGGAATGAATACAAAAATCACAAAGTGGAATCCATGCTGTAAAGGTACTTTAATAAAGTAAAGTCGAGGGTTACAGAACTACTTTAAAAAGAATGGGAAGGGAAGGCCAATTCTAGGGAGGTTTAGGCAGAGACCTGAGGGAAGAGGAGCCACTTTAGCCCACATGGTGTGTGTGCGTGCACATAAGGGATGGGAGTAGGACGAGCGTTCCAAGAACAGAGATCAGAAAGCGCCCCTTGGATGGAAAAGCGCACTGGAAGGGAGGGTAGAAGGGATGCAACGGCGGCCAGTGTTACTGGAGCCTACCGAGCAAGTGACATAAAACGAGACTGCAAACGTGGGTAAAGACAAGGGAGGGCTTTGTATGTCATGGCAAGGAGTCTGGACTTTATCTTAATGCAATCGGAAGCCATAAGATTACTTCAGACAGGTGAACTGCAGGCACCGTTTTCGTCAAAAAACTACACTGATAAAATGAGATGTGTGGGAAAAGGTTTTAAGCGCAGAGAACCGTAAGTCACACATGAGCCCGGGTCTGAGCGTTGCTTCGGTAAAGCATGTTGTTTGGGTCAGAAGCCCTTTCCTTCCCGCTGTGCTGTGCCTAGGCAGGGAGTCCCGAGGGCCCCGGGCCCTGTCAGGTTGCTCACGGAATTCTCCTCATCCCCACCGGCGCCCAGCACGCAACCGCCACCCCAAACTGTCGGTCAGCGCAATGAATGGCCGGTCCCGGCCGCGAG